CACTCCTCTATCAGAAATGAACAGATTCAGAAGCCAGAAGATCAATTAGGATGTAGTTAAACATAACACGATCATCAATCAACCGGATATAATGGATATTTGTAGTCTATTTTATCCACCAACAGCAGACTGCACCTTCTTCTCAGGCTCACATGGAATATTCAGCAAGACAGGCCACATTTGGAGTTGTAAAACATGCCTTAAGAAATTTTAAAAAATAGAAATCATACAATGTGTGCTCTTAAACCACAATGAAATTAAACTACAAATCAATAACAGAAAGATAACTGGAAAATCCCAAAACACCTGGACAATGAACAACACACTTTTCAATAACATGTAAGTTAAATAAGAAATATCATGATAAATTCAAAAGTATTTTGAACAATATGTATATGAAAACATAACTTGTCAAAATTTGTGGAACGTAGCAAAACCAGATCTTAATGGGGTTTTATAGCATTGAATGTACATATTAGAAAATAAGAGATCTACAATCAATTATCTAATCATCCACATAAGAAACCAGGAAAAATGAGCAAATTAAGTTTAAAGTAGGTTAAAAAAAAACAGAAATAATAAAAATTAGAACAGAAGTCAATGAATTTGAAAACAGGAAGTCAACAGAAAAAAGCCAACAAAACCAAAAGCTAGTCTTGAAAAGATCAATAAAGTCATTAAGACTCTAGCCAGCCTAACTAGAAAAAGAGAAAGCAAACAAATTAGTAATACCAGCAATGAAAGAGAGCATATCAATATAGATGCCATAGTCATTAAAAACATAATGTAGGAAATAATAAAATAAACAATACAAATAAATAAAATAAATAATAGATAAATAAATAAACAATAAAAATATAATACAGGAAAAAAATAAACTCACAAATTTGATAACCTACAAGCAATGAAGTGATTTCTTGAAAGACACAACCTGCTAAAACAGGGCAAATTAATAGCTCCTATGTGATGCTTCTCTACTAAGAAACTCTTCTGATTTTAGCTCATATAAATCTACAACTTTAGCAGAGGCAATTTTCTTAGGTTGTCATCCAAGTTTCCTGGGTGTTGTAGGGGGAGAAGGTCAGCATGTACCTGTTTTCCTCTCTGCAGCTGGGTTTTTGACATCTCTGGCATTGCCCACCCAAAATCCATTGTAGTTTTTTATTTCTCTCACAGAGTAGGAGGACATGATAATCCAAGGCAATGCAGGAAAGGGGGAAAGTGGAAATGGAAAGTGTTCCTCTAACTTATCCCCTTGCTGCCACTTTTAGTTACCATCAGTGCCTGGCTGCAGCTATCCCTCCACAAACAGTCACACAGACCCACAACAGTTCATGACAGCCTTCTTTCTTCCCAAGGATTTCTCATTTTTTTGTATGTTCCTCCATGTTCTCCTTGATTTCCATATATTTGCTTTGGAGAGAACATTCCAGGAAGGTACACTAGTTCTCCATTCTGACAGGAAGATTAAACCTGTTTTCAGAATGGAGTTTATGTTGGCCCCAGAAAATGGATCATTATTGCTTTAATTCTAGAACTATATCTTGTTCTTTGCTTCCCAGCCTCTCTTGCAGCTAGACCTTGTCACATGGCCCACTGTGCCCAATAAAATTAAAGGAAATTCTGATGCTGCAATTTTAGAAGTCCTTATTATTAACTAACAAAAGATTTACCATTTTATCTTTAGCATCTTGAATATAGATGTGATGCCCAGAAAAAAATTGCAGCCATTGTGTAAACAGGATGGGAAAGACAAAAGAACTGCAGAGTCTAACCCTGATATCATTGACCTTGTGAACTGATGCCAGCATCTACCTACTTCCAGATTGCTTGTTATGTTAAAAAAAATTATTATGCCTCTGTTAATTGTGGTTAATGTTATGTAAAACATGCAAATGACCAGCTTTTTATTTTATACAATAGTTTCTAAGAGGAAAATAATATTTAGGAAATACTTATGAGTTTCAAGGTAATTGTGCCAGAGACTCTAAATAAATCATTTCAATTACACTTCATAGAAAGCCCACATGGAGTTATACAATTTCCATTTTTTTGATTAGAGAATTTAGGCTGAGGGAAGGGAAATAACCTTGCCAAGGGCTAAAATTTAAATATAGGTCTGCTTTTTCCAATATACCATATTACCTGCCAATCTATCTGTTTATAATACCAAAATGGATCTACATGTGGGAATTCATATATTTACGGTGACTTTTAGCTTTCCTCCTTATCCCAGGGAGGCTTGTTTTTGTCAATGGCACTCATTTCTGTTTAACATTTACAGTCCTAATCCCGTTGGTTCTCAAGATTTTTTACCGTTATATTGCACTATCATAAGGCAAACTCCCTTGAGTGGGCATGCTCTTAAATACATACCAGCTAACAGATAATATAGTATTGAAATCTAGCCTGGAGAGAATGGGGCATGAGCTAGGCACTTGATGATGGTTCTGAAAAGGGAGGTTAAAATTTCCCAAAGACAGCCTTTCTCTCCTATGCTATTGTTTAAGACAGGCCATGGGGATATTATGTGTCTTTAACATATGTGAGGGAATTAAAGTTGGAATACAGACAAGTGGCCTCAGAATAGAGAGGTGAGATACAATGTGTGACACACACACACACACACACACACACACACACAAATCTAAGCAACAGAAAAGACGCTGTCCTGCCTTTCTTTTAAATCCACTTTGCACTTTGTGTATGAAAGAGAAACCAGGCTTTGTCACTGGCACTGACAAGGAACAGTAGCAGATCCGAAGAGGATGCCAGACTACAGCAAAGGCATTAACCAAAGCACCCACAGTGTTATGTAGCTTTGAGCTATAGGGAATAATGAGTCTCTGTCTTGATTTGTTTTTGAACAAGGGAATCACTTAAAGAGATGGTAAATAGGCTTCGATTTGAATTTTTCAGTTTTGTGTCTAGATCAAGTAATGTAATCATTATTATCCCTGAAATATTTTTATCCATTTCTAATGAGTTACGGAGTATTCTAATTTTGGAGAAGAGGTTATTCTAGTTCATTGCTGCCTTAAACAATGAAGAATGCAAACTTGACCACAAAAGACCTCAATAATCAACTCATAGAGAATCAGAAAAGTTTACCTCTCATCAAGACCTTAGAGAGCAAAGAGTTAAAACTCAAGGTTTTAGAGATGAATACACAGATCCAGAGAGGTTAAATGACTTTGACCAAGGTCCCAGTGTTCATCTAGGACTGCATTGGGTTACAACCGAGAACTCCTGAAAGTGTTTCACTGTAATTCCACCACTCCATGAAGCTTTCGTAGGGCAAACTGCATATAAGCATATTAAAAGATTCCAAACTGCAAGACAATTCTAGATTCATATTCCATACCCATCTACATTACACAAATTACCAAATCTTCCCCACATTAAAAATATATATATATATGTGGAGTGGTCAGAATTGTGACTGCGTGCGCACACACACACACACAGAGATACTTAAAACTTTATTATATTTTAAAGATGTGCTAAGATATTTTTCATAGGTTTACACATTTACCAGTATAAATCATAAAGAAAGGATATTTCAGTAGATTGATTTAACCCAGGATTTTGTTCTTCTAAAATACATGGATTCTCTTTAGAGATTACAAACTGTATAGCTTTGTATACATTATAAATAACATATACAATTTTAATACTTCCATTAAGGAGGAATAGTAAATCATAAGTGTTTTGCAACTGGACTTTAATATCTATGTCAAAGAAATGCCCTTGTTATTCTGTTGTTTCTTGGGTTGTCCTTTATCATTTTCCTTGCTGGTCTAATCACTTAAAATATAACCTTGGAAAAGTACCTTACTTTTCTGAGTTCTAACTATTTAAAAAAACTTTGGGTAAGTGCATTTATAAAACATTCTCCTTGTTTCCTTATTACAATTTTTATTCTTGCTCTGCAAAGAAATACACCTAAGTCAGTCTCTCTTTTTTACTCAAACTCACTTCCTATAGCAAATGGTAAAAAAAGGTAGGAACTGACTGCACTCCCCCTTCTGGTGGTATTTCAGCCAGAAGACACACATTGTTGGGCCATTTGAGACACGATTAAAGCTCCCCAGCCTACCTCTCCCACTGGAGAGAACTTGTTACCAAAGGAGAAGGGTCCATTACTGCCAATAAAAATAGAATCATGTATGTATTGTGTGCATTATACATAACAAAAAACCTTTCAGTGTTTTATCTCATTTCCTATTCACAACAATATTGTGAGGAAAATATTGCTTCTGAGTTCAGATTAAGAAAGTGTGGTTATTTCATAATGTATGATTATTTACACAAATTAATAGTTGGTATCAATTATTAATTACTTACGAATTACTCATATCATTTCACAGAAAAATGATTGCAAATAAAATTTATTGAGTTTCTCCCATATGGATTGACAAATCCTAAGACATATAAAAATATCTTCACTTTTCATATGAGCAAACTAATACTTAGCAAATATAAGTCATTTATCCAAGTTCGCACAGCTAACAAGCAGTAGAGCTGAATTTGAATTCAATCAGTGTGCATATATAGTCAATAGTTAAAAATGCAGTTAAGCTATAAAAATTGTCAAGAAATAAAATAAAGACATGAAAAGGAACAGGAAACAAATAAAATCAATTATAGTTATTGTTAATACAGTTACTGTTATTGATCATAGACTTTACCTAGGGGTTTCCTGTTGACAACAGAACTGAAAAGGAAAACATGGTTGATTCAGTAACATCTCTTTTCTACTTTTGTAAAGTTAAAAGGGGGGCTGCAAAGAATTGAAAAATAGAGATATACATGTCATTGAAGTTAAATAATAAAATAATTTCTCTTCGGTGATTTAATGTCCACAAACGTGGTATATGTGCTGCATCTACTCCATTGCCTTCTCTGAACCCCTTTCTGGACTTCTCTCCTCCTTCGTTTTGCCTTAGAGCTGAACTTAATGACCCACATCAGTGTATTTCCTTACCCTCTTCTCTTAGGTTTTTCCAGTGGAGGACAAGAGATAACTTGAGGGCCAACTACAGAACAGTAAGGTTTGTGTATTTATTCTTTCTGCTGGGTTACTGTGGATCATCTGTGTCCCTCTGTTGCAGACTACCTGTCAGGCAGCTCTCTCAGAATATGGGCAATTGCTCCTTCCCTGTTCCTTCGGACATAGGGTAAGGGTTCCTACCTGTTGTGAGGCCAGGAATACTAAACCATCCCTTGTTGGGTTTCCTAAATTCTGTCCACCTCTTTGCAAGTAATCCATTTATAAAACTCTCCACAAAATCTCCAAAGTAACTTATCTGTCTCCAGAGTCTATAGGCTTTCCACTGTCACATGAATGCCATACCATACTGCACATAATGACTCACTGATAAGAAAGGGCTAACCATTTGCCTTTTAAATGTGCCAAATATAACCAACCTGTAACAGGAAAGCTGCCAGACATTCAGTTTTCCAAATACCTTGTAATTAAGTACTTGCTGCTTTAGTTATTGGGTCAGACACTTCACGTTATTGCATTTCATTTAGGAGTGTTGAGTTTCTATAGCTGTCTAAGAAAATCAACAGCAATTTTCCTAAGGTTACACACTTCCACAACCACATTTATGTCAACATTCACATTGTCTGCCATGGCAAAAAGCTCTTAATAGCTACAACGAGCATTAAGGCTCAGGGTATACTTTTTATATCTCTACATTTTTAGTTCCTCAACCTCAGTTCTGTTTTTTCTAAGTCACTTGACAAATATGTACTTTTATCTGAAATACAAATTATATGTACAATATAAGATAGACATGCCAATTTTAAAATGTGTGGCTGTAGAATTCACAGAAAATTTTTCCTTGTACACTGCATTACACCATTTAATAAAAGAACACTGGTTTTATCATTTTTAACATTTTTGCCATCTTTACCAAGAGATTTCTTCTGTGTTTTCTTATATCTGCCAGGGTAAAAAGTCACTAGAAAGTTAAGGTGTTTGAAATCAAAAGTGATGTCCTTTTAGTGCAGAGAATCATGTTTGAGACTTCTTAATAACAGAAGAAGAGTCAAAGATGAAACAAGGTTGGCTCTGCCACAAATTTTATTTTAATCTAGTTCTCTTTTCACAGGACAGACTCAGAGGCGTGGAATCTGCATCCTCTGAGGGTAACGACTAAAAGAGATGTCAGTGACAATAGAGGAGATTCTACCACAGCTGTCTGAAGCAAGTACTTTAAAATGAAGCTTAGTAATAAGAAAAAAAAAAAAAAAAAGGAAGACTACCCGAGTGACCAAGTGAAAGACTCATACAAAAGTCTTGCATACATGTACACTGCCTATAAATGTTGGTAATTAAAAAAGAGCCAGATCTATTGAACTTCACCATAAATCAGATTAAAATTAGATTCAAGGTTAATCGATATTTGATCTAGGGACCAACTTAGAATCTTTTACATAACATGTCCAGAGAACAATCTTAGAAATCATTAATGATTTAGTTTTGTCTTCCCTTTCTGTAAAAATATTACTTACAGAATAATAAATTGAATTAGGTTGATACCTGTCCAAATATGCTTAACGTCAAACAGAATTGAAGGAATCTTTGCAATATTTACTAGCAAGAAAATATTGCAGCAGCCGGTCCTGTGAAGGCCAACTCATGTTGTTTTGGGTTTCTTTGCTGTTGCTGTTGTTTGTTTCTCTGTTTGTTTTGCAGTTTCACGGTGTTTATTTGATTGTCCTTTCTTTAGAGCTACTGCTGCAGTGTCTATTTCAGATCTTTCTCAAGGCTTTTTCTTAGGTTAAAGAAACAATTGGTGGAAAGTTGCTGAGGTAACCTCAGTGGTATATTCACATGCATTTGTGTGTGTGCAGCAATGTGTATGTGTCTCAGTAGTTCTGCGAAAACCACATTTTCCCTCCGATATCAAAGCAAAAGAGACCACTTTAATGAAATACATAACAGAAAACCTCTTCTGGTTCTCAGTGGCAACACAACATAAACCTTCTCTTATTCAGTTGCTGTTCACAAACTCTAGTCCTGGGTCATAATGGTCATAACCAGTATATTCCTTATAAATAATATCATAGTGTTCAGGGCAGACATTTAAATCAAATGGTACCTGAATCCCAGATTCGTCCCAGTTACGTTCAGACATTGAGAAAATTAGTAACACACCATTCTAAGTCTTTGAAGCATCAGTAAAGTAGAATCAAAATTAGTTAAATCCTACAACTTCAAAATATCAGTGTCTTTAAATTAATTTAAGGGAATAATAGCCACAGGAGACATTATTTTAGTCCCCGATACACAGTAGAAACTAAATCAATGGTATGTTTTAAATTTATTATTAATAAATATCTTTTCTGATATAGTTTCTCTCTTGAAATTACTGAATTTTCTTTTTGAAACCCTTTCTAAAAATTAGAAGATATTCTAAGGCAGTTAATAGATAGTATCCCTTTAAGGTGAGTTCATAGAAATGGTTTAGGAGCACACCTGTAATCCCAGCACTTTGGGAGGCTAAGGCAGGTGGATCATCTGAGGTCAGGAGTTCAAGACCAGCCTGGCCAACATAGCAAAACCCCGTCTCTACTAAAAATACAAAAATTAACCAGGTATGGTGGCAGGCACTTGTAATCCCAGCTACTTGGGAGACTGAGGCAGGAGAATCACTTGAACCCAGGAGGCAGAGGTTGCAGTGAGCCAAGATCACGCCACTGCACTCCAGCCTGGGTGACAAGAGCGAAGCTCCATCTTGTGGTGGAGGTGGGGTTCGGGGGGGAAGAAAACAAAAGAAATGGTTTAGGAGACAATTGTCACATAACTGATGTTAACTTTCAACTTTCTTTGCACCCAATTTAGGTGCTTTTTCTTTTCTCTCTCTCTCTTTTTCGAGATGGATTCTCGCTCTGTCACCCAGGCTGGAGGGCAATGGCATGATCTCACCTCACTGCAACCTCCACCTCCGGGTTCAAGTGATCCTCCCACCTTGGCCCCCCTTCAGCTGGGACTACAGGTGCACGCCACCATGTCCAGTTAATTTTCGTATTTTTAGTACAGACAGGATTTTGCCATGTTAGCTAGGCTAGTCTCAAACTCCTGACCTCAGTGATCAGTGCGTCTTGGCCTCGCAAAGTGCTGGGATTACAAGCCTGAGCCACCATACCCGGTCAATTTAGATGCTTCTTTTAGCATTTTCTTCCCCACTTTTAAGGTTTGAGTGAAAAGCAAAATTTGTGTCTGATATGGTGTTTTGATATATGTATACATTATGAAATTATAAAATCAATCTAATTAACATGTCTGTCCAATTATATACTCATTATTGTTTTTGGTGAGAACATTTGATCTTGTCTCCCAGCAATTTTTAAGTATACGATACTTTTCTACCAACTATATTAACAACACTGTATAATAGATCCCCAGAAGTTATTCATTCCATCTAACTGTAATTTTGTACCCTTTGGCAAACATCTTGCCATTCCTTAAATCTCATTCCAGATACTGGTAACCACCATTCTATTCTCTGCTTCTAAGTTCAACTTTTTTGTAGATTCTGCATATAAGTTCATGCACTGTCTTTCTTTGCCAAACTTATTTTAGTTAGCATAATGTTCTCCAGTTTCATCTATGTTCTCATAAATGACAGGATTTTCTTCTTTTTTAAGGCTAAATAGAATTCCATTATATATATGCCAAATTTTCTTTAGCCATTCATCCCTCGATGGGCACTGAAGTTGATCCCATATCTTGACTATTGTGAATAATGTTACAGTGAATATGGGGAACATATATCTTTTTCACACACTGATTACATTTCCTTTGGAACTATACTTAGAAGTGGGATTTCTGGGTCAATTAGTAGTTCTAATTCTAATTTTTTAAGACGTTGACATACTGTTTTCCATAATGGCTGTACCAATTTACATTCCCACAAACTGTACAGGGTTCTTTTTCCATACATCCTCTCTAACACTTATCTTCATCTTTTTGATACTAGCTATTCTAAGAAGTGTGAGGTGATCTCTCATTGTGGTTTTACCTTGCATTTTCCTGATGATTAGAAACAGTGAACACTTTTTTGTATATCTGTTGACCATTTGACCATACAAGAAAACATTTTATGTCCTCTTTTAATCTATTCAAGTTATTTGCCCATTTTCAATTGGATTATTTGCTTTCTTACTATTGAGTCATTTGAGTTCCTTATATATTCTGGATATTCACCCCCATCAGATGTATGGTTTGCATATGTTTTCTCCTATTATGTAGGCTGTTTCTTTATGCCATTAATTGTTTCCTTTGGTGTGCAGAAGCTTTGTAGTTTGATGAAATCCCTTTAATTTTTGCCCTTGCTGCCTATATTTTTGGGGTAATATTCAAAATATTTTTGTCAAGACCAATTTTGAGAAGCATTTTCTCCTATATTTTCTTTCAGTGGTTTTACAGCCTATTGTATTAAGCCTTTAAATGATAACATCAAAAAATAGGGAAAAAATTAACCAAAGAGATAAAAGATCTATACACAGAAAACTTAAACATTGATGAATGAAATCAAAGAAAAAAATGGAAAAATATCCCATGTTTATAGATTGGAAGAATTAATGCTATTAAAATGTTCATATTACCCAAGCAATCTACAGATTCAGTGCCCTCTCTATTAAACTTCCAAAGACATTCTTCACAGAAGTAAAAAAACAAAAATTCTAAAACTCATATAGTCACAAAGACCCTGAATAGCCAAAAATCTTAAGCAAAAAGAACAAAGCTAGAGGCATTGTACTGCCTGACTTCAAAATATATAACAAAACTATAGTAATCAAAACAGCATGGTACTACCATAAAAACAGATCTATAAATCAATGGAACAGAATAAAGATCCAAGATATAAATTCACACATTTATAGTCAATTAGTCTTCAACAAAGATGCCAAGAACACACAATAAGGAAAGGACTGTCTCTTTAATAAACTGTGGTGGGAAAACTGAATATCCACATTCAGAATAATGGTTTAAGCACTTTTATAACCTATTACCAATCACTCACCTTTTAAATCACACACACTCACATTCTTTTTATTATGGTAAAATAATTGAAAAAAATCATTTACACCACACCAGAACTCTCCATTAAAACCTTTTAAAGCAATGTGTGTCTTTTCAGCCATTGCAGTTGTAGCGATTTATAACTATATATCAATTTGGATGACTAGTTATCCATTGTTGCCTGACAAAATGTACAGTTTTAACAGCTGGAAAGCACAAAACTATTATTATATTGTATTATTTTGTAAGTCAGAAATTCAGACTTCTCCCAGAAGTATAAGGAATGGTACTTTTATTCTATAGTCAATAAATTGAGGTCACTTAAATGTACTTGTGTCACAGTTAGTATGGAAGGGACATGATATTTACTTATATGACCATGCCTTGGATGGAAGGCTAGGCTCAACCGCGCACCTTTCTCTGCCATGTAGCCTAAAGGCCTCGCAACAAGGTGTCTCCTGCAAGATAATAGGACTCCTTGCATGGCCGCTCAAGGCACTGAAAGAGCAATGCAGAAGTAATTTAGCATGGTGCCTTAGATATATAAAAGAATAAATAAATATTTGTGACCTAGAGATAAATGCATCTCCTAGAAGTATTTTCATTGTATTATATAACTAAAACTAAATTCCGTAACTCAAAGGTATGCTTGATTAATTTATAGCAACTTGGGCTCTATGTTAAATCATATTCACTTCAGTGAGTGTGAGCTTATGGATAAGATACTGCTGTTTCACTTAACTTGATCACAGCAAATGCTTCATTTGGGCATGGATAATGACAGTGTTTGGGGACAGTTATTTATGTGCAGATGATGTAACAACAAAAGAAGACTCAAAGATCCCTATATCACAAGATGTATGAAGACAGGGACCTGTTATACTGCATGGTGTGCAGTATTTGTTGTATAAATAAGTAAAATCCTCTCAATAAATACAGTATAGATTTTTCTTATGGTTGGAAAGTTCATGCCATTACATTTAGATGTATTCTTATTTTCCTTTAAAAATAAACGTATATTCTGTAGTTAGTAAGACAATGAAAATATTTTGACATTTATTCATTTTTTCACCCAGTAAATCTAGATGTTTCTGTTAGGTGGTGGTAACTTTACTTAGGAATTAATCTGATCAACAAGAACAGGCTAAACATGAAACTAGTTCAAAACCAGTATACTCAATTCTTCAGCCTCATTATAAGATTTTTAAACATTACTTGATTCTTATCAAAAGGAAAAT